CTCTTGCTTTCCATTTGCTCATTCTTATTGCTGCAAAATAGGCAAATCATTTGAAATGGCCTTCAAAATGTGAGGTAGACTTGCTAGGTTTGAGATTCCCCCTCCTCCCCCCAATCTGTATTGACTTTTAAATAGTTTGGAAATCTGTTTAAACAAAAGGGAGTCAATCATCAAACTGCTGATGGAAAGAAAATGTTTTGTGCCCATGCCATTCTTAGTGACAAATGTTGTCCACCTGAAGTTGAGCGTACAGGTTCTTTATAAGCAGATTTCTGAAGGTGACCTGGAGAAAATATATTCCTTCTAATGCCAAAGTGCTTCTTTTTTTTCCAGTGTTGAAATCAGAAATCTTATGCACAAGAGTCAATTGCTATCATTCCTCTTTTGTAATTAATGGTTCCTACGGCTGGCTGAGTGGATGAAATAATTAATAGCACTTAAGACTTGGAGTGTGTTGAAATTCACCTCTGATTACCAAAATGTATATTTGTGTAAGGATTATATGCAAATAGTCCCAGAATGAAGTCCCAGAAAAGATCATGCAGATGAATGGCACTTAGGGAAAAAAAAGTCTCTTTGTTGATGGTGCTCCAAGGGTTGGTCATTGCATTTTTTTCTTCCAAACCAAAAACATATGACAGCAATCATAGATGTAAATAATTATATATGAAGAATAATGCTCCTGCATTTATTCTAAGGAAAGCTAGGAAAATGTCAAAAACTGAATTTGAGAATATCTCTCTTTCTTAGGAAATACTATTCACTGTATACATTTTCATGAAGTCTATAGGTGACTGTCAAATCATTGGATCAATTGATTCAAACATTTTTTGACAATCAATTGTCAATTGATTTTTATTTAGTTATCATATCTCTATCAGCTATTACAATAAAGAGCAAAGAAAGGTAGGGTTGACCTGCTAATTTTTCCTATGTTTGAGAGAAGATTTCTCAGGTTCTTTAAATCATATTGTAAGGACTTACTGTACAATTTCCATGTGTTTCCTATCTCAAAATGGTAGAAAATAATGCCATCCTTGATCAGGAATAGTAGTTTGGGGAGATCCAAAGCCCCAGAAGAAGAAGAAAAAAGGAGTCATCTACAACACAAAGCGTAATGACTGCAACAACAACTATACAAGACAAACAAGTGGCTCAGGAATTCTGGAGTTGAAATCCATGAGTAATAAAAGAGCCAAGGTTGCCTACCCCTTGACTAGACCTACCATAGTTTTAGCTGAGAAACTGTGACCATCCTAGACCAAGCCAAGTCCGAAAATTCTAGAGAATTTCTAGAAGCCAGTTACTCTGGCAAAGTAGCCATCAATAGACAGACATAAACAATATCTACATACTGTGCAAAAGAGACAATCCAGAAGCCAAAGAGGGAACAAAAAAACAAAGTACCTCCCTAGCAGCAATCAACACTCAGAGGAGTATAGATTAACTCCAAGATTAACATCAGACCATCCATCAAAGAAGTGAACAATATTCCAATCAAGGAACTACCAAACAAGTTAACAATAAACAGCCCAACCAAAGCACTTCCAAGACCACTCCCACCAACACTAACATTACAATATAAACTGAGAGCAAACCTCACTCCTTAGTAGCACTGATGATGTTAGCTAGTTTGGATAATGAAATGTCTGTTCAGAGAGCACCAAGGACCTCTCATCTTAACCCTGAGCTACAAATATTCTCCTTTATTAAGTTTGGGAAGTATATGATTTTGGGACTCTTGGATGCCCATCAATGAGGATACCAGATAGAGAGAGACTGGCCTAAAATCTATGAAAAAGATGGGATGAAGCTGACATATTCCTGCTATATCTGATTATCATCCCCAAATCCTCAGGGATTCTTTTTCCAGTTTACAAAACTGCCTTCAGCATAAATATGAAATGTGGCTGATCTCCTGACCATCAGCTATTTTGAAAGCACATTGAAATAAAAATTAGAATAGCTCTGAGCAATAGTGCAAAGCTTGCAAAGGCACCGTTAGGATAAATTAAGTGCTTATTTATTATATTCAAATGATTTTCCTCCCTTCCCCATCACTCATATTAATGGGAAAGAAAGCAATCTGCAGTTCCTCAAGACCTCCTTGACCTGGATGGTTCAGGAAGTGCTGATGCTTGAATGTGTTGATGGAAGAAAAGAAAAATTGCAATTTAGTTATTTTTCCTTTAAAAAAATGCTTTAATTAGAATGTGATTTCTCATTTTGTGATCCTGTTGTCCACAGTGAAAGCTCATTAAGTAACTGGCACAACTGGCTAGCTAATCCAGGGCAGCTGAGTTGAGTTTAGAAGGCTGATTGTTATGTGAGAAGATAACTGGTTCTGATTCAGCATTATATAATTTTACTGCAGGAATGCTGCAAAGCGCAGCAGATAAAACTCAGAAGAAGCTGTTACTCGCTAAGGACACTTTTTCACTCTTTTTCAAGCCTTCTGGTAGCATGTCTTCTAGTTTCTATGAAAACCACTGGTAGTTTTGGATTTATGACTGTAATGGAGCCTGCCTATCACAATCATGAGTTGTGACAGTCATATTTGATGACTTTTTTGCAGCAGTCATTAAATTTTAATTGTTGTTTACTGCCCAGAGTCACAAGGTTGAGATGGATGGCCATATTAATTGAAACAAACAAATAAATAAACAACAAAGACAATGCTAAATAAAATTTAGAATTCTGTTTACTTTGGATTATGCATTTTGCCATGTCTTTCTGTGTTTTCTCTCACTTGCCCTAGGTCTCCACAATATAGCTTTGCCTTCTTAGTTTCCTGAATCTTGGCAATCTTAATGCCTTAATCCTGCTCAATGTTGTTTAGAAAGCATTTTTATACAAAGGGAATTTACAAAGGGAAGAGGCATTCCCATCAGCTCCTCATATTCTTCACTATGTCTTGTTGATATGTCATGACCATAAATTTACAAAGAAACTCAGTGAATCCTGACAGAAAGATTTGATCCTGTCATGGAAGGTAATTCTCAAAAAACATATTACTTAGTGATTGTACATATATCATTTCATCTCAAATGTTCATCTAAGTCTCATTACTGGGAGGGGGGAATGGCTGATTTTAAAACAATTGGAAGCTAATTATTTATATTTCTAGCACAAAAAATGATTAGCCATCACATAAACAGCAGGTGTTAGATAAACAAAGATTAAATAATAATTGTAAACAAACAACATAGTTTTTTGGACAGTGTTTCTCAACCTTAACCACTTGAAGATATGTGGATTTCGACTCCTAGAATTGTCCAGCCAGCATAGCTGAAATATCATTCTGCGTTGGAGGTTAGCAAGCCCGCATAGCTGACTGGGGGATTCTACTTCTAGTTCTCCCATCTTGGCTCAAAAGCTTCTAATATTATCATAGAAAAGAGTTTTCCCCCTTATTTCACCTTTAGAATAGTTGTGCTTGATCATGCTACTGTAGCTAGAAATGAATGAGGAATGCTTAAATGCCACTCAAATGTTGAAGCCAATTCAAAAAATACCTACGCATGCATTTAAAAAGTTATGTTTTGCAATGTATAAGGCAGTGGGGAATAGATTGTTTTTAAAAGGAAACAGGAAAATTTCCAATATCAATACATGAACATTCTGGGCAAAAGACATATGGATTTTATATTTAGTCAATTCTTAATGTGATTTGGAAATAGGATCAAATGACAAATGCTATGAAACTGACTGATTTGTCCTTTGAAGGATAATTTCCCCAAATTTTAGATATTATAACAAGAATACTACAATATTGTCCACAAAGAATTATTTAGTAATGCACTCATTATAAAAACAGTAGAAGAATTTTATTATGTTTCTTATAGTTGATGTTTCCCACAATATTCTAACATGGCTACCCTTCTACAATTCATATAGGTAGGCCCTATATTACAATGGCAATTGGGGCTGGAATTTCCATCACTGAGCAATGTCATATGACTGCATTGCTTAGTAACAGTAATCCCAGCAGTTGCCAATTACTGTCATGACCCCAAGCCCATTTGGATTGTTAAGTGGGAAGAGTCAGAAGATCCAGGCAAACAGGCTGGTGGGTGAGTGTGTAGGTAATGCAGGATGGTAGGGAGGTGCTAGAAACAGGTGCTATAGAGCAGAGGTCCTCAACCTTTTGGGCACCAGGGACCAGTTCCATGGAGAAAGGGTTTTCTGTGGACCAGAGAGTGCATGTGTGCTGCCTGCATCCCACGGATGGAGCTTTGATTTTTTGTGTGACCAGTTGCTGGCATGGCGCGGCCGGGTACCGGTCCATGGACCGGGGGTTGGGACCCCTGCTATAGAATACAGGTGAGTATGTGGGGGTAAGGTGGAATACGGTACACCCCCCTTCCTGTAGTGTCAGTGGGGAGGGGGGCTGCCACAGACAAACAGTATGGATCACAGGCAGACAAAAAAAGAGGAAGAGTTACTTTTGACTTCCTGCCAGCTTCCCCATTGACTTTGTTTGTGGAAAGCTGGCAGGGAATGTCAAAAATCCCAATCAAGTGACCATGGCTCATAATCACGAACTGGGCACAGAGCAAGAGCACTTAGACTTATATACCGCTTCATAGTGCTTTACAGCTCTCTCTAAGCAGTCTATAGAGTCAGCATATTGCCTCCCCCCCAACAATCACAGCCCTCATTTTACTAACCTCGGAGGGGATGAAGGCTGAGTCAACCTTGAGCCAGTGAGGATTGAACTCCTGGCAGTGAGCTGAATTAGCCTGCAATATTGCATTCTAACCACTGTGCCACCACAGAGTTCCAGATTGAGATCATATGATTGCAAGAACATTGCAGTAGTTGGAACTGTGAGGCTTGGTTATAAGTCCCCACAGTGCTACTTGTAATTTTGAACGGTGGACTGAACTTGAGTCCTATTTATATATAGGAGGATATAATTATATATTTACAATATATAATTCTATAACATATGATGAGTAAATACTGTATATATAATTATCTAGGTAAAGAGTAGTTACCTCTTCTTTCACTGAAAATATTTCTTGAGGATTGCAGCTTCAATTGCCATTTCTTCGTCAGATCTCCATTTGCTGGGGGAATCCTCGACCTCTTTGTCATGACACTGAAGCTTAATGGGAAAGAAGAAAGAGATATTATATTGAGGGGGAAGTAATTGAAGCAATGAACATGATTACCATAAAGTGTAGTGTTATTAGCCTGTTCTTTGATTCCAATAATTTATTTCTGATTTCTGATTAATTGGGAAGGTTTCAAATTCTGGAACTCCATCATGTCGACGTTCTCAGCTTTTGTTCCTCCATTTCATTTATCTTATACACAACATGTGTGCTTACAAATGCACAACATTTGAGGCAAAGAAAGAACCAGGAGACAAAACCAAAAGCAAGTATATACCTAGCATTTCTGTAATACACAGAGAGAAACAGTGAATATTTCCTACCGCACCTGTTCCAGAAAGAGGACCAGACACCTCAGAAATATAATACTTGAGAAGCAATTCAGGCAAGGAGAACTTCAGAAGCATCTCCGTGTGTGACATGATCAATGGATCTTAAAGCAACCAGAAGAAACATAGAGAAAACCATTTTCTAGGAGAAGCCTTCTCTGACGGTGGGTCTTAACCTCATTCCAGGCTGAGGCTCACAATTTAATAAAGCTTTTGTTATAGGTCAAATGTGGTCAGCCTATTACAGTTGAATCAGATACGTGGAGAACTGGAAATAAAATAAATGAATTGTGAGAAAGAGAGAGTGAAATCATCCTTGTTGAGAAAAACTCACCCATCCCCAGAGGGGGAAAAAAGATTTAAAAAAGAGGAGAGGAGCTGGAGGCACTAACAGTTTACATTTCATGTTCACTCAGATGTAGATTCCATCATTCGGTATTTGTAGATTTTACTCTTTGTAAATGTATTTTAGACTGCAGCCTTCAACAACAATCACATTATAACATTCATTCTTATCCCTCCTAAACCAGGCATCTACAAGCACATCTGGCCTGGATTTTTAGTGCCTGAAACAAATAACAGAGTAACAGAGCTGGAATGGACCTTGGAGGTCTTCTAGTCCAACCCCCTGCTCAAACAGGAGATCCTATACACCTCAAACAAATGGTTGTCCAATCTCTTCTTAGAAGTTGTTGGAGCACCTACAACTTCTCAGGACAAGTTGTTCCACTGATTAAAAAATTTCTTCATAGTTCTAGGTTGTGGTTCTCTCCTTGATTAATTTCTATCCATTGCTTTTTTGTCCTGCCTTCAGATACTTTGGAGAATAAATTGACCCCTTTTTCTTTACAGCAGCCCCTTAGATATTGAAACATTGCTATCATGTCACCCCTAGTCCTTCTCCCTGTCTCTTTCCATATAGAGAAGACTAATCAAAGCAATATTTCTAATCTCATCTAGTATTTCTCAAACTTGGCAACTTGAAGTCCACATATCTTAAAGTTGCCAAGTTTGAAAACACTGATAAAGATGGACACTTGCGTTTGATGAGCTGCCTATCATTGACAATTCTCACAACCCCCTACAGCATTCAATATGACATTGCTCAAAAGACTTATGGGAAATTTATAACTGTGGCCAGGAACACCATTTAGAAAAAACAGATCCTTTGCCAAGGAACTTCTAAATCTGTGCCTCCATGTTGCATTGCACTTGTGTCAGAAGCACTGAGTGCTTCTGGGTTGAAAGATCACCATTGCCCAGAGGATGCCCAGTTGGGGGCTCCTGTCATGTCCCTGGCAGGATCTGGAGAGAAGGACGGGAGGTCACACAACTCCATGGCAGCATTTGGGTCTCAAACGTGGGCTTGCTAACCTCTAACTCAGCATCCTAACCATGCAAACCACAGTGCTCCTTAGCTCTATGTTATTTCTTTTAATTGTATACTTCCACTGTATAAGTGCTTGTCAAATCCAGGGCAAGCTGTTGATTTGGGAGATAACAGTAATTTTGTATATTTTTGAACTGGGACTTTCTTGCTACAAAATGGAAGAAAGAGTGAGATGGCTTTGTGTGGATAAGTTAATGAATGACATATTGAACATCCCTCAAGCTCTATCACAACAACAACAACAACAACGACAACAACAACAGTCTGCCATGCCACAGTGTTATCCATTTTAATAAAACAGCTTAAAACCAGGCTGTCAGCTTTGTTGGCAACTTCACACTGGGGGGGGGGGGGTTGTTGATGTGGAAGGGAGGAAGTGAATCCTTTTTCCTAAAGAGAAATATTCAAAGAGTCTGTCTGTTTACAACTGATCAAAAGTGACAGTTGGTGCTTATCGGTGGAGGAGTATTTTCCTCCTTGAAGAGAAACAGGAGGATAATTTATCAGGAAAGCTGAGAAGCCAGATCTCGGTAATGATCTGTTTTGAGAAAGGAAGATTTTAGAGGAATATTTATATCACAAAATAAGGAATTGAAGCAAGTTGGCAGTAGGTTTTTTTAAAAAAAAAAAAAAATAGCTGCCCTGACACTGAGAGGTTTTCCTTGGCAATTTAGATTTCCAAAGTTGGATAACACCAAATAGAATGGCTAGAGGTTTTAATTAATTTCTAACAGCACAAAAAGGTCAAATTTCTCTTATATTTATCCTTACTTTAAAGAGCCTTAAAACGGTGTTGTGACCTTAGAGTTGCTTTTATTAGCAGTTGCTTTGTAGAAAATATGGGTGCAACACACATACATATATCTTGAGTTTCTTTTCCCAACTTTTGCTCCTTTCTATGCTATACTTGCTTTAGATGAAAACTGACATCACAAAGACCTCTCAAATTGAGTGAGGTACTCATTGAAGGAGCTGAAAATGAATAATTATGTGAAAGGAATGAGACAAAGGCAACATTCTGGAAATTAGATTATAGGCTACTAAACCAAGCTGAGGAATCAATTGCTCCCCTTATAGAGCAATTGTAGCTTCATCAAAGATCGAATGCATTTAAAGGTTAACAGCAGCAGACCTAAAATGAGGAGATAAATTAGCTTAGGGTTAGATTTTAACTTTGAAAACAGAGTCCTCTCCTCCCCCCCCCCATTTTTTTTTTTTTAAAGATAAAGGCCATTTTCATCCTTCCAGATTCCCAGAACTGAGATGGGAGAACTGAAAATACCATTAACGTGCATTGCTGCATGTTTTGTTCCACTAATTTAAAACAAGCCAACATGTGTTCAATTGCAATTCCCCAAAACTCTACTTTCCTTTCTCTACATTGTAAATTTTCCTATAATCTCTCTGCAATTGACCCTTAGAAGGGATTTGGTGGGCCTAATGAGATAAGTAGTGAAATCTCACATCTTGTAGAGATAGTCCTTGATTTACAACCACAATTGAGCCTAATGTTTCTGTTGCTGAGGGAGACATTTGTTAAGTGAGTTTTGCCCCATTTTATGAGTTTTCTTGCCCCAGTTGTTAAGTGAATCCATGTAGCTGATAAGTTAGTAAGCCAGTTGTTAAGTGAATCTGGCTTCCCCACTGACTTTGCTTGTCCAAAAATTGCAAAAGGTGATCACATGACCCCAGGATGCTGCAACCATCATAAATATGAACCAGTTGACAAGCAACTGAATTTTGATCAGATGACCGTGAGGATGCTGCCAAGGTTATAACAGAAAAATGGTCATAAGTCACATTTTTCAGTGCTGTTGTAGCTTTGAACAGTCACTAAGCAAACTCTTGTAAGTCAAGGACTACTTATATTGCTTATGAAGTTAAAAACCCTACAATTTAACCATTTGCTGGGGGAACGATGAACCTCAAAGACAAAGAATAGTACTTTTTCTGTCTCATGTGGTATATTAGTACCACTTTATAAAACCCTAGTAAGACCACACCTGGAATTCTGGTCACCATATCACAAAAAAAGATATTGAGAGTTTGGGAATAAATTCAGAGAAGAGCAACTAAGACGATCAAAGACCTGGAGACTAAAACATATGGAGAACGGCTGCAGGACTTGAGTCTGGCTAGTCTAAAGAAAAGAAGAAGTAGGGGTGACATGATAGCAGTATTCCAGTATTTGAGGAGCTGCCACAAAGAAAAGGGGGTCAAATTATTCTCCAAAGCACCAGAGAGCAGGACAAGAAACAATGGTTGGAAACTGATCAAAGAGAGAAGCAGCCTGGAATTAAGGAGAAACTTTCTGACAGTGAGGACAATTAACCCAGTGGAACAGCTTGCCTGCAGAAATTGTAGGTGCTCCATCACTGGAAATTTTTAAGAAGAGACTGGACAGTCACTTGTCTGAGATGGTATATGTTTTCCTGCTTGACCAGGGGGTGGGGTGGGGTGGACTAGAAAACTTCCAAGGTCCCTTCCAGCTCTATTCTATTCTATTCTATTCTATTCTATTCTATTCTATTCTATTCTATTCTATTCTACTCTACTCTACTCTACTCTACTCTACTCTACTCTACTCTACTCTACTCTACTCTACTCTACTCTACTCTATTATTCCTGTCCCAGCCTGGGATGCAGAACAGCCAAAGAATACATTTCTACAGTTGTATCTGGGATAACTCTATGACCCAAATTTTTGAACTTCATTCATTTACTGTTTGTTAATTTTTGCCTATAAAAGGCATAGAATCTATTTTATGTGCTAAACTTTTATGGCTTCCTGATCTTGGAGTCCTTCAAGATAGGCAGATTTCTACCAATTGCCTTGGCTGAGAATAACCTGTCAAATTGTTTCTAACTCTAAATCTGATGATAAGATCAACAACCATCCTTGTTCAGCATATTATTTCTCACAGTAGCCAACCAGATGCCTCTAAGGTGCTTGCAAGCAGAAAATAGAAACACACATCTGTTCTGTCATTGTTCCCTTGCAACTGGTATATAGAGTTACACTGAAGCTTAAGATTAATAGCCCTTGATAGAACTGTTCACTGTGGATTTATCTAATTCCTTTTCTAAAACTATCCAAGGTAGTGGCCTACATCGCATCAGTCCACAAGTTAATTATGCATTATGCAAATAAATGCTTTGTTTTGTCTCTTTCTTCCTATCAACTTCAAAGAAAGATGAAGATATGCAAATGCTGTGGTTTATCTATACCTACAAAGATCAAAATCGTGCAAACCAAGGTATTTCCTGTGAT